TTGTACCCTGGAGGCTGTTAACAACATTTGTTCGCCCGAAGGGCTCAAAGGGTTTAGGGTTCGGGAGAGGAACTAAGGAGGGAAGCAAGCGCAAACGGAACGAGATGTTTTGGTCCGCACAGCCACACACACATCTTGCACAACAGAAGTCTCTTGAAGGGACGATGTCGAAATGCATCAATCCCCCATCAACGAGGAGACGTCGTCCGGTCATCCCCACTGACTCTTCTCAAAGCGGATGCGAGGCAGTGCAGTTGCCTCTCCCGCCGTGTCTGCCCGCAGATCGTCCAAGGTGCTCTGAAAGTTTGCAAAACGCAGCAAAGAGGGAAGTACTGAAAAGCGAAGCTCGTCCCAACTGACAGCGACCCTACGGTCAGCACTGAAATCTGAAAAGTCATTCTTCGTGATCCTATCAGCTTCCTGATTTGCTTCACGAGGTCTCCAGTTCAAGAGGCACCTGACGTCCGAAGTGTCACAGCGAAGAGAAAACTCCATCAAAACGAACATCACCGGAACCTTGGTCGTGAGCAATCTTGCAGATATCGAATCTGCTGCCTTGTTGTCCGTCCCAGCAGAAAAGCAAGCTCTGAAAGACCCTGGACCAGAAAGCACCTCAGCGAAGTCCCTTTCAAGTAGGTGAAGGGCCACGAGAGAGGCGAGCAGTTCAGCTGACGTACTCGCCCAGGAACTCCCAAGCCCTTCCTTGAAGAGCCAAGGGGCCTCATCACGACCAAGCCTGAACTGAAACCAAGGAGCAGAAGCGCAGCCCTCGCCCCTGTGAAAGAACCATCCCCCAAGGGTCACTGAGTCGTCGTTGCAAGCTGCATCCGTTCTGAAGAGCTCGCCATATTCTTTGTCGATCAAGCCTGCAGGGTAAGAACGAGCGCCGCTCCGCAGACGATCCAAAATGAACCGCAGCGTACAGCGCACCAGGTTTGGTAGGGCCAGCACCGCCCCTTTCTTGACCACTCAAGCCAGGCGTAGCCTGGCGCCAGAAAAGGCCTCATCCACACAAGAACCTGGGACATGAATCCAAGCCTTCCATGCAACTCATGAAAACGACGGACGTCCACGAGCCAGCCGTCGCCTTCCATACTCTCAACTGATCTGATAATCCACTGACACCGCTTTTCTGAAATCCCAAGCTTGAAGCGCCCATAATCAATCCAGTAACCGACCCAGTCAACCTGAAGGCCGCCTCGCCATTTCTTTTCAGAGAAAGGCGTGCCCTGAAGACAAAAGAGGGCCAACATCATCCACAGGTTTAACCAGCGATTCGGGCCGCCGCTCAGCAGGTGTAAATCGTCTGCGTAAATGAGTGCAAAAACAAATGCATCCAATAGGACTCTGAGAGAAAGACGGCCAACCAAGCCAATGAGGCGAGCGAACCAAAAGGCCGCTGACGCTATGCCAAAAGTCCTGGATGGCCGATACTTCGCGAGCTCCTGGTCGGTCATTCATGACGATCTCGTTGTTGACCTGAATGCCGTGTGTTCCGTCGTGCACAACTCGGAACTCCTGATCCGGCTTTGGAATGACCGCTTGAGCCGCAATGCGCAAAGCAGAGCCAGGGTATCGTTTGCGCGCTTCGGCGAAGGACAGTGGGAACATCCGCCCCTCCGCCTCCTCTTTCTCAAACGCCTCAAGGAGGGCTTTCTCGACCTCAGGCCCATCGCGGTAGTTCCCCATCAATGGCTCCCACACTGAATCGTCGTACTTCTGATCCTTTTGTCGTCGCCTGAAGACTTGAGGAACCGGGCCCAGAGGCGAAGTGTGCCCAACTTCGACACCATTGCAAAAGCAGAACTTCCCCTCTTCAATGATGCGGTAGTCTGGGTCCTCAAGTATGCGAAGAGTCTGCGCGATGGCCCGAAGATAGAAAGGCTGGTGCGGTATCAATTCCCGAGCCCTCAAAGGATCCGGCAACATGTCGAACCATTCTTCGCCGCAGCTTGTCCAAAGGCTCTGAAGCAAACAATGGTCCATCCCAGTGGCCCGTAGCTAGACGAAAAGTCGCCTTAGCGAGATCCGGCACGTTGTCCAAAACAAATCGCCTAACTTTATCCCGAAGGTTTCTAGCGAAGGAGACCGCAGCAGGTGATAGGCATCGCCCCCGGCACGAAGGTTTCCATCTACCAGGTGAGCAGCGCCCGAATCCATCTACGAACTCATCTGTAGCACCTGCGAAGTCGCCAACCATCGGTGGACCCTCACATCCGGACTCCAACTCACTGAACGTCAGATCCCCCGTAGCCGAGTCCGCAGCCGAGTTCCCGGAGTGAGCCGAGTCCACCTGCGCAGGTTCCACGTGCGGTGTCGCCGCGTCGTCATCCTGGTTCTCTTCCGAAGAAGGAGGACCTGGCTTTCCTTGCCCCGGCAGAAAGAATCCCAAGCCCGAAAGTCTATCTCGATCGCACTGAGAAAGCAGCCCATCGTTGCCAATGGTGTAGGCCGCCAAAACCAGCCTACAGCCGCTCCAGTCCTCAGTCGAGTGCCAGCGATGAGGGTCAAAGATAATTTTGCGGTCCTCCCAGGCAAGAACTTTTCCAGGCATCGATGTCCCATTGACGTCTCGTTCAGTATCACCATTGCTCGATTGAACCCAAAGACCACCACCGCTGAAGTCCGAGCAGGAAAGTAGCAGATTGTCGTAGTGCCCATTTGTGGTATCTTTGTGCAATGGTTGCTTTAGGTCCCTGAAGAGAGCAGTCGAAGAGAATACCCGTCCTGGAAAGTTGTGGGCCACCAACCTCGCCAGAAGCTCTGTAGTGAAGGGAAAAGCATCCACGTTGCGCCTGAGTCCAGCCCTGTCCTTGTGGACAAAGGCCCCTGATGTAAAAGATCGCTGGCCTTGCACTTCCTCCTCAGATTGACGAACCCTGTCCTCATCCGGTAAAAGCTCGGACAGCCGAAGAATCTGAGCCTGAGAAGCCTGTCCTTTCTTAAGGCATTCGCAAGCGAGCAGTTCAGCAGGGTGTCGCCCGGGGGAAACCGAAAAGGACCTAGGAGGGAAAGAAAAGACGGAGCCCGAAAACGAACCCTCCCTAAGCCCCGAAGAAGAAGAAGAACCCCCCCCATCGAAGACGGAGAAGATCCAGGTCGCGATTTCCGCGCAAAGTCCTGCAGGGTAGGCGGCCGCGGTTGATGCCGAGCCAAGCAATCGGTCCTTATGGCGATGTCCGCAATAGCGGGGAAGTGGTCCGGCGTAGCGGTCAGTTGTATCAAATCGTGGCGGACCCACATGCGGCATGCCAAAAGTGAGCGTATAGAAGATAGAAAACGCGTTGGCTTCGGGGAGGCAGCTCCGTACTGACATTGATACACTGAAAAGGTCACCACAGACTCATGTTTAAAAAGAGCCAAGGCCTCCGGAAGCTGCCAGATCGAGGCGGGCGTGTGCCCCGCAGACGTTGTCCCCAGGTCTTCTGGATGCTCCAGCAAGAAAGGAATTGAATTCGAAACTGCGGCCGTGCAGATGCGGAATGAAAACGAAACAAACTCATTGCCCCGCTCGACCACTGTACGATGTGCATCAGATAACCATGGAAAACCCAGTGGGTAAAGACGCGATCTCAAAGGCCGAGGTCCAGGCTGCACGCAGCGCGCGCGAGAAAAGGTACTGCAGGGAGGGGTCACCAAGACCACATCCCACTCGGAATTTTCAATCTCTCGCAGACACCGTTCGGCGACCGAAGAGTTCAAAAGGTCCATGCTCGGATCCCGACAAATGTCCACTTCGAACATCTCCAGGGTGATATCGCGTTCCTTGCAGAGCTCGCCTAAGGAATGCCGCACATCAGACTTGCGTGAAGGACCTGAAAACAAGTAAAGCACGCGAAGAGATGGACGGAGCCCAGAGGTCGAGTCAACTATCGAATTCGTAGGCGCGGGCCGAAGTCAGGATCCACCTTGCGCACCATGCTGTTATGCCGGATGACTGCCTTGGCAGCCCTTGATGCGGCACGCGTGAACCCTCTGACAGCCCTTCACCTGACATCCACGCTTGATGTTAAAAGCATAGCAAAGTTCCCGACCATCCGGGGTCTTGGAGACCAAGTCGAACCAGGCCTCCCCGATCTTGATTTTGCCATCGGTCTTCCCCTTGGGATTCCCTTTGCCGTCCTTGCCACCTTTGTCGCCTTTATCGCCCTTGCCCTTTCGCTGCCACTTGTTGGGAGGAGGGGGATCAACGGTAGCAGATCTTTTGGCGAGTGCAATCTGACTGGTGAAGTGGAGCTCTTTGAGCTCCGTATTCCTGGTAGCATCATAAAGCTTGTCCCCAAGCGAAACCCCTCGCGGTGCGCCTCCTTGATGGCCCACTTGCGAAGTTCAAATTCGTACTGCAGCAAAACATTCCACGGAACATTAAGCGCCTGACGTTCAGCGTGAGCAGCAGAACTGGTGGGGGCCGAGGTGGCCACTTGCATGCTGTAGCATTTATCACCAAGAAGAAACTCCAGGTAACGATCAAAATGAGCAAGCTGCAGATCCTGAAGATAAGCCCGCCCCCGGCATTTAGCCGAAAGCATGACCCATGTCGCGGCCTCCAAACGAAGCTTCGCCCGGAGCTCCTCCGTATTCTGTGGCAACCGCCCCTTCGGCTTCTGACGCATCACACGAAGTCGACCCTGATTATCAAGAGAAGTTTGCAGCTGCAGAGAGTTTGACTCCTTACGAGAAATGACCTCGTCCAGGTAGCTCGCGGTGGGCTCCCCATTCTCAATCTGCTCTAACTTGTGTGCCAAGTACTCAGGCGCAGGCTCTTCGGATTCTGGAACAGAGTAGCCTCGAACAGTTTCCAAGGCGATGCGCATAGCCGCCCTGTCTGATGAAGCCAGAGGTTTCTGAACCCCCATGACCTTGGCCTCAGCACGCAACTTAGCCTCCTCTTCACGAATCAGCTTCGCAGCTTCCCAAGCAGTGATGACAGTAGCAATCTTTGCACGGTCAGCAGCACTCTCCGGTCTAACCCCGAAGTCGGCCGTAAAGGCTGTGCGCGCCCCTGCCCTATCATCCGTGAAAGCAGCGAAGGTGCGAATGCTCTTGTAATGCTGTCCGATGGCATACTGCAGATCAAGCCCCACACCATGCTCTTCAAGCAGGAAAACGAAGTCTGCATCAACATTTTCCTTCAGGTACCGGCGCTGAGCCGCCGGATCCATGATCTGAGGCACACACCGATCCTATCGAAGCCTAACAAAGCCAGTGTCCGGTGGTCTAATATTTGCTGCAAAGTCGTCATGTAAATTACATGACGCCTTTTCCTGAGTTTTGGGGTCTGAAACTGACAGATCCTGACAACTGAAAGTCCTCTGCAATGAGAAATAAGTATCCACATGTCTATTTGTATATGTGTTTTCTGCGGCATGTGTATGTGCATATGTATTCAAAATATATATATATATATATGTATATGTATGTACGTATATGTATGTACGTATGTAAATATGTATGTATGTATATGTATATATGTATGTGCATGTATATATATATATGTATATGCATATGTATATGTGCATGCATGTATGTATGTATATATATATATATACATGCAAAAATTTAACAAAACTTCACAAAAATAACCACTAAAACAATATTCCTTATTATACTTTTCGGTGCTTTTGTTAAACCCTAAAATTCTTCTAAAAATTTGCCGTCGAAATGCTAATTACAGGATATTTTCACTAATTAAGGAGAATTAGGCCCTATTTAAGGTAGAATTCCTTGAAATACACGCTAAATACAGAAATAGCCACTAATTAAAGTATAATTCTCCTTAATATAGGGTGCCGTCTTTAATTTAACAGCTAATTCCTTAATTAAAGGATATTGGAGTCTCAGGGACCCCGTGCTGCACTGCCTGAACGGCAAGAGCCTGCTCCTGTCCGGCATGCCCGGCACGGGCAAGACGCACCTGGCGCGCCAGATCGTGACGCAGCTCTGCGAGCTCGGGGAGGTGGTGAAGCTGGTCTCCAAAACGCACTGCTCGGCGCAGAACCTGGGCGCCGGAGCGCAGACGGCGGACCGCTTCGTGCGGCGCAGCATCCGCAACGGCAGCTGCGAGCTGGACCGCCTGGTCATCGAAGAGATCACGCAGCTGGACTCCAGCCTCTGGGCCGACGTCGCGGAGCTGTCCCTGAACCCCAACGTGAAGTTCCTGCTGCTGGGCGATTTCCGGCAGCTGCCGGCGGTCCTGGACGTTTTCGGAGGGGCGCCGGTAACGAAGCCCCTCAAGGACTCCCGGCTCCTCCACGACCTGGCGGGCGGCTGCTACCACGAGCTCACGGAGAACCGCCGCAGCGACGAGGCCATCTTCTCCTTCCTCCAGTACCTGAGGAGCCGCCGCTGCGCAACGCGCTGCAGCTGGCCCCGGAGCGCTTCCCCCGACGAGGGCAGCCGGAAACCTGCCTGGTGATCAGCCACGCCAACCGGATGCGCCTCAACGAGCAGCACAACCGGAGGCTGGCCCCGGCGGACGCCGT